CCCATAATAGGGTTTATTATAATTGTTAGAACGTTATTCTAAACATGGTCGGTTGTTAAGTTGTTAGCTTCTGTATAGTGCACTTCTTTGTTAGTAGATTTTATTACAGCGTAGTACTTGATGTATGGGTTCGAAGCAACGGATCCTCTTACGATGGCTTATAGGGATCAAAACGTCATAAATTTAGTTGACTATTGAATTAGATACTTCTTGTTAGAACAAGTTTCTGTAAAAAATATACTTTAGTCTGTACAAGTTTTGCTTGTTCTGTTCTCTATTATTTTGAACGAAGTAGTTCTAGAAGAAATGACAAGGTTATGTTGATGGTTTCAATGATCGTGTGAAAATTATGTTCCTTATTAGGTTTTGCACTATATTATGTAAAAATATTTTGGATTTATTAATTATTTTAAGATCTCATATAGATGTTGCTGGTAGGGATAGGTAAGTGAAGGTCGATTAAAAAAAACAGATCACACTTTGCAGAAACCTCTTAGCATTCGTGTCCTTTTTTTTCAAAAATCTAATAGCATGGGGTTTCACTATAAAATTATATTTAGATACCACTGTTAGTCAACAAAAATAAAATAGACGTTTACCTTCAGACTTGATATTCATGTGTTGATGGAAAAAATGATGAATTCGCTGTTGAGTAACATAAATGTGTGTTGCTTCTTTAACAATAAAATCATCGACAATATTCAAATCATTAGATTATGTTTTGTAATTTAACAATTCTTCTTGATGGCAAGATCAGTCCGTCCCACTATCTTCATTTGAGATTGGTTTCTATAATATAGAATAAGATCAGAGGTAGAAAGCATAATGAAACATAAAATCAGAGATATACTGAGAGTCGATCAGATGCCACGTGATAAACTTTTTCAACCTTATTCTTTTTCAAGAGAGTTGATTCTTGAGAAAGAAAGAGACTTTAACATAGGGGGGAAATCACGCAAAACGGGACATACTCCTCTTTCATTGTCTTTTATTCTTTATAAGACTTATTTTTCTGAATAAGTTCTTTTAGCATAGACATATTTATAGTTAATGGCTGTTCCAGCTGACTGTTAATTAATTAAGAAATCATTAACAAATATCTGTCTAACTATCTGAGAAAAGAATTCAATAACTTCAGGATAGACTATGGCATGAATTACATCTATGCGGAAATTTTCAGCAAGATCGAACTCCAAAAAACTCCTGCGAAAAACCGTATTTTGAAGTCTCTATCAAGTCTTGAAGCAAAGTATTTTTTCTTATCACAATCTAGAAATTCTGAGGAAGGATTTGAACCGTTTGAAAATAGTTTGGAACATTTCATTCAGTAATGAGAGCATTTTTTCATTGGTAAATATGTTCATTATTCGATAACTCGAATAGTGATCAGACTCAAATTTACATGTCTAAAGTTTTCCAATGATTTGAATCATAATTTCTTGTTGAAATATTCATCTTGTTCAACATCGACCCTGTTATTTAGACGACAATGGCTGAGACACAGTACTGCTTCATTTAATTCTCTTACACTTTAGCGAAAAGAGAAAGAAATAGCGATAGATAAATCATCTTGAGATACGAAAGATGCAGTTGAGCTGACGAAATCTCGTCGAACTACTTGTTGTAGCGTATAGAGAACGTAAATAAAATGTAAACAAAGAAGTTTCATTCAGACATAAATTTCAATGATTCTTCAAACGATATTCTTATTGAAGATCAACGAATGATTAGTACAGAAAATCTTCCACTGTTTAGAATCACATATTTACTTGTTGACAAATGAAACAATGGTGAATATTTTCTTAGTTTCCAATATACAATCGCTCTGATTGAACATTGAAGTAGAACGACACGAGAAGACAGCAACCGGACCATTGAGATTTTAGAGTTCTGTCAAATTCGAACAAATAGATGAAGGTAAAAGTTGTCCATCATTGTCTTAACATGATTCGTCTCGAACATCAAATCCTAGGCGAAGAGGAACATTTGCATCGAACTGTGCGTTCTTTTTTGAATAGCAAAAGTTTCATCGAATTTTGAAATTCTGACAAATGTTCATGTTGAATCGTCCGTCCTTTCTGACTGTGCTCTTTCGAAGTGGAAGTTGAGAAACTCTTGGAGGGTGCTGTGTGGAAGAATGTTTGTCTTCGCTTCATCCGCACTTGTAAGCATACAACCATAGCCATAGCCACACACCGATATTCACGGCCAGACCTACAATCAAAATGAATCATTAGAAGAATTGTTACGAATTTTAACAAACACTATATGACTAATTTCTTAACCAAGATAAACTTGTTTTATTCGTTTGCACTTGTCATGTCTGTGACATGAGTCATAAAAATTTATCTTTAGAACAATCCTATTTCAGCAATACATTTTCGAGTGCGATATCAAAAAATGTTTGTCTATATGTTAGAAAATTTTTATTTCTTAAATAGACGTTTTTATTCAAAATATGAATCCAAATATTTATTTAACTTTTGTTTTCTTGTAGTAGGAGAACGCTAAAAAACAACGCGTTCACATGCATGACAAATAAAACTCATTCAAACGATGTTTTATACAGCATTGATTAGAGAGAAGAAAACGTGTTCTTTCATAAATGTATCCAAGCGATGCTTTTAGATGATGTTTTAAGTTGAAAAAAGAACGTGTTGTAAATCGAAAAGATACATATAAAAGAACTGAAATAAACAACAATACTTTTAACTGCAAATGTAGCATTTTTTTTCTAACAGTTAGTGTCGAAATGCTGTTTCGTGTAGGTTTTTTTTCATGAACATTCTTCTGTCTTGGACGACTTTTCTTACTTAAAGAATTTCTCTTTTATGCTACCTTGCCAGTTCTCGCTCTTACATATGTTGTCAAGCGAAGAAGGAATGAAAAAAAAAACTCTTTTTACATTACACATTTTTTACGTTTAAAGATAAAGAACAGACGACGACGTAAGGATATTTGTCAACAAACTTGTTCTCTACTGACACGTGTTGAGCAAAAATGGCATGCATTTTGCATCGAGATTCGAAACAAGTTATGTCAAACAAGGAGGGGATTCGTCTCATAGGTTTGGACGATCCTCAACAATTAAATGAAATAGAACCGCTAATACTCTCAATAAATCCTGCCGCACAATTCTATACGGACTCACAACGATGCGTTGATACGATCAAAGAGTTGACCAATGAACAGCTTATCATTGTTGTGTCGAATTCATTTGCTATAGAACTTCTTCGATCGATTCATGACCTTAGAGCCGTACTTGGCATTTTCATCTTTGACAATCAGGGACAATCGACTGGTCTTTGCAAGAAATATTCGAAAATTATCGATATCGTCTCTGATAAACAGATTCTTCTGCAATGTTTACGTGACAGATTACAGCAATTTGAAAGGATTACATTAGACTTCAGTCTATTCAATCAAAAACAAAAGTCAACACGAGATCTAACAAAAGAATCAGCTTCGTTTCTTTGGTATCAAATGTTAATTTATGTTCTCAAACAAATGCCACACGATGATCATACAATGCATGAAATGCTTGATCAATGTGCGAAATATTATCAAAATAATCAAACAGAATTAGCAAAAATTGAACAATTTCGAACGACTTATACGCGTGATCAAGCTATTAGTTGGTACACCGATGAATGTTTTCTCTATAAACTTCTTAATCAAGCCTTACGTACGGAAGACATTCAACTTCTCTACTCATTTCAATTTTTCATCATCGATCTTTGTGCCGAACTCGAACGAGAAAGCGACAAGATAAAGACTGAAGGTCATCTCACGGTCTATCGTGGACAAATGATGTACAAAGAAGAATTCTATAAACTACAGCATAGTGTTGGCGGATTAATTTCCACGAATGGATTTTTCTCAACGTCACGTGATATAAATATTTCATATGGATTTTTAACAAAATCCAATTCGACTAACGAAAGAGTTCTGTTCGAGATTCAAGCCGACCCATCCATACCTGGTGTCATTTGCGCCGATATATCTGCTCGAGGCTCGATGCCTTGGGAACGAGAAGTTCTCTTCAGTCTCAATACCGTATTTCAGATCGTCTCTGTAAACTCCGATCCGATACACGATGCTTGGAGAGTACAGTTAGTTGCCAGTGATCAAGGTATAGAAAAAGTGAACGATTATATTAAATGGCTTCAAATTGAAATTGATTATTCCAGTCCATTGGTTTATTTTGGTCGACTTCTCTGGAATGAACTTGGTCAATTAACACAGGCTGAAAGTTATTTCAAAATGCTTCTTAATACCTTACCAATTGATCATCCAGACATAGCATCGATCAATCTGGAATTCAGTCATATCTATGATGAAAAAGGTGACTATGATTTAGCGCTACAATATTCCGAACGTGCATTGAATATCCGACAACAACAGACACCTATCGTTCCCAATCGTCTTGCTTCGTGCTTGAATAGTATGGGTGTAATCTACAAACATAAGGGTGATCTTGATCGTGCCATTGATTACTATCAACAATCATTAACTATATACGAAAATGAGGTGTCCAGTGGCAAACATCTTCATCAAGCTAATACATTGATAAATTTAGGCGCCGTACACAAAGACAAAGGTGATTTTGATATAGCACTGGACTATTTCACTCGTGCTTATGAAATATGTCGAGAACTTTTACCTGCCGATCATCCTCGCCTTGCCGATGCTTTGTCAAATATTGGAAGTATCTATCATCATCGAGAAGATTTTGATCAGGCTTTCAACTTTTATCAACAAGCTCTAGACATTCAAGAGAAGACTTGCCCTGATGATCACCTGCGAAAAGCAAATACAATTCGAAACATTGCTCTCATATATTGCGATAAACAAGATTGGAATAATGCCATGAGTTATTTCGATCGTGCCTTGACCATGCATCGACGCCTTTTATCTGACATTCCTCATCCTAACATTGCAGTCTGCTATGGTGATATCGGTCATATCTATGAGAAGTTGGACAATTGGGATCAAGCGCTCGATTATTATCAACGACAATTGAAGATGGAAGAACAATGTCTTTCGATCAATCATCCTCATCTCGCTCTACATTTTGATTGGATTGTTAGCATGTTGAAAAAGAAAGGCAATAGTGATGAAGCTAGAAAATTATGTCAAGAGAAGTTGACCATGCTTCCAGATCTGTTAGGAAACGACTATGCTAATCATCCAAGATATGCTCACACTTTAGTATCATTAGCGACGGTACTGGAAGACAGTGATTTTCGCACAGCACTTGAATACTATAAACAAGCATTCGCAGTACTTGAACGACATCCACATTTGGAAGCCAATCAAGTATGTCTCTCAGCTATGGTGAATTTCTTTTGGAAGAACAATATGTACGATCAAGCATTGGTTTATCAATTGAAATTAGTTGATTCGCAAAGTGCTACTCTATCGTCGAACAATAAGGAACTAGCTGTTTCGTTGCGTGGTTTAGCCCGTCTCTATCGAACAATGAAGAATGAGCAAGAAGCAACTAAATATTTCAATCAAAGTTTGGAAATCTTTCGAGCCATTTATGGACCTCATCATGATCGTGTTAAAGATATCTCAAATGAACTAAATCAATTAGGAAATTATGCCGCTGTCTCAGACACTGTAAAGAAGAAAGAAAATGATATCGATCATTACTATTCGATCCAGCAACCGATGCCAGATCGCCAGTTTAAAAGTTACCCGGCATCGCGACCAGCCAAAAGTGCTGCTTGTACACTTCTCTAAAGTGGTTTTCTTCTTGTTTCGAATCTCTCTACTGAAATCTCATCCAATATTCGAAATAGAGAACTGTTGTTCGGTTAGTATAACTTACGTATAAGCATGTGAGAAAATTGAAATGATGTTTACAACGATGAATTCCAAGAGGCTTAATTCTAAAAATACTCTCGATGAGCAGAGAATTTGAATCTAAATGCAAGGGTAAGCAAGTACTATTAATAAAGGTGCTTCTTAGAATATAGCAACGACTGTGAAAGAAGTCTTCCAATATGCAATTCTTTCAGATCTGATGCCAAAAAAAACTGCTTAATGTCATTAGTTTTTACTTGTGGGCGATTAAAAAGAATTGTTCATGCATTGTACAAGATTGATAGAGACTATTAGCGTAGGAAAGCAGAAATATATCAATGTCTTTCAAATAATTCGTATCAATCGACATAGACGGCTACGAAATAAGATGATAATACCTTGGTGTATTTGTATAACGGAGACCTGATCTTAATTTCAACATTTTTCTCAATCAATTATTAATAATGTCATGTCAAAAGAACATGTACAACACATAATTATGATATAATAGACCGTCGGTGTACTTGTTTGTCAAAAAAAGAACGACTTTCAATAAATATTTTCGTCTCTTTGGATTTTCTCGAATCCCTTTGACCGTATTGAGAAATATTAAATACGAAAGTGTAGAAGGAGACTGTCAGAGATCATGACAGACGCCTTAGAAATGTCCCCTCTCTCGGTCACAGACTATTAAAATAGATAGAATAAAACAATCTTCTTGTGATACGCAAGAGCAGTTGCATCGTATTTCGCATTTTAATGCAACAGAGATTACTCTAACAGCTTTCTTTCATCTCCCATTCACATCCACACTGTCAGAGGTGTAGAGAGTCGGAATTTTCTTTTCGTTCTTCGAAAGAACTATCTATATAACTCTCACCAGGATGGCTTTCTAATTTCTTCGAGATGAAACCTGTCATGAATGAAAGTTCTGAACGTTTTGTTAGGTCAACAATGTTCACTCTACTTCATACTGTGATTCTTGACATATAATAATACAAATTCAATGACTTACTGTAACTGTCTCAATATTTTATCTATCATTAATATTAGTATTTGCTTCATGTAATTAACAAATAATTTTGAACATAATCATTTTTGTTACAGAATAAATGTTTATTCTTAGTTATTATTCACTAATGAATTGCTGATTTTAAATAAAATATTACATATTAGATGTTAAACTATCTAGCAATGATTCTTCTATCAATCTACAGAAATCACTATTATGACTGTCATAGATTAAAATGTTACTTTAGTTTTCAAAACGCCTAGAAGAAAATGATATGATGAAAGCTGTAACACACGCACAATTGAGACTTGGCGGTACTATTGAATTTTTAATATATCTATTTGCTAGAGGCCACTATAGAAGCTAAAGGTGTTAGGAAAAATCGTGTTTTTGAACTTTTATTTTGAAATTATTTTCATTTGAAAATCTCATACATACACTAACTTGTATGATTCGCATCTGCAAGCTATGAACTTTTCAAAAATATATCTTCTTTTGAAGCATAGTGAATAAGACAAGCATATTTTGAAAAGTTCTTATCTCAGTGATACGAGATCTATAAACTCTGAAGCTCTCCACGAGACTTCCTGCAAGGGCCTCTGACAAATAGATATTTTAAAAATTTAATAGGACTCTCAAGTCTCAATAGGAATTCAAATTCTTTTATGGGCTTTTCCTAGAATACTGCATAGTATTTATAGACAAAATAGTTATTGAAATCAAAAGAGGACATCCAAGGAGGTTCTCTCATGTGTTTTTCTTTATTTTGACACAAGAAATTCACTCATAATCTAGTTCACTAGTAATCTGAACTTTGGTCGAAAGTGATATGAGCTGTCCATGGTGTGCACCGAGCGAGATAATGAATTTTTTAGATATTTACAATATATGTAAGATATCCACAAGTCAAAATTTTAACACTGTTTATCTATCTTTTTTTTTTATGATGATTGGATAGAGTTCGTCGAATTGTATAAGAAAATGTTTGCTTCAAATTTAAAATCAGATTCTAAGTCAGAAGTCTTTGGTCTATTGTCCTTATATTTGAAGATAATTATACCTCGGACCTTCTTCATTACTTTTTTTTGAAAGTTTGAAATGCACTTTTTGTATGCAACTCGACAAGCTCTATCCAACCATTACGAAAAAAAAACAAATAAAAAATTTTAAAATTTTATGGATCCTTTTATTTGTCTTTCACTATTTCTTTTTCCATGGCAAATATTTGATTTAAATTTATCTGCTTGATTTTATAATTTTCTCAACTAGAAAATATTCAGAAGTTTCCATCTCCGTTTTCAGCATTTTTACTCTTGATCAAAGTTGAGGTAATGAGTAAATTGTTGACAGGGGTTTGTATGATTTCCCGTGGTATGTTAATTACTATTTGATATACAATTTAAATTCGAAATTCTTGATCAAAATTGTGTAAGGCGTATCTTATTATTTCTATTTGAAAAAAAAAGAGCTGAAATTTCACTAATACACTACAATGTCAAGTCTTGTTCTTTTTTTTTGTAATAATTTTTTAAAGTAACATATGTTCTTATGAGTAGCGACATCTAAAATACATTCTCTCCATTTGTATTCTTCAAGTAATCCAATCAACCGAAGAAAGAAAGAAATATATTCATCTTATCTATTTTCTTTGCATATTGTTTTCTTTTTTCATTTTTTTTATTAAAAAATAAATTTTTATTCATTAAAATTAAATGACACTTCCACGTTTATTTGCTCATATTGATGGAATTGAAGCTATACTTGTACTTGATAAAGATGGTACACCAATATTAAAATTACCTACAGCTGAAATTGTTGATCAACTTGATTTACGAACAATTATACCATCAGCACAAACACTACAAGATCAAAGTTCACGAATGAATTTAAAAAAATTAAAAACCGTTATTACATATTGGTCAGCACGTCAAATAATAACATATAATGTTCCACCATTAGTTTTTATTATTGCTGCTGACACAAATGTTAATACAGGTGCATTAGTTAATTTATATAATGATTTTCAAACAATTGCAGTAGAAGATTTAGTTAATAAAGTTTAGATATTTTATTTTGTCTTCATCGTGGTTTTTTTTTATTTAAAGAGTGATAATGAATAAAACAATATGTTTGAAATAGTAATGATTTTTTTTTCTATTCTATTGTGTCTTGGTGAATATTTATTAACTCAGCATATTTCTTGCATAACATTATATATAAAAGTTTATTCAATTTTTAATCTATTAGAAAATTTTTGATCATTAGAATATCAAAAGTTAATCAATCAATTTGTTCAATTGTAGATATATATATATATAAGTCAATAAAATAGTTCAATGGTATAGGTATAAAAATATATTGGTTCGAATCTAACTTCATACTTTATATTTCCGCACGAAAATATCAATTAGATTTTGTGATTAGTAAAACTTTGTTTGAATGATGATATCCACAGACCTGTACTGATTAAATCAATGAGGAATAATATTAATAAGAGCTGACAAACAAAGTTACTTGAAGTTTATTTTTATAGATACTCGTAAAATAAATTATCATTCAGATTCAATACATCAGACAGTTTCATGGAATCAAACGTTGCTTAAATTAAATCAACATTCAACTTCTCATTTAGGATTCTGCTCAGAACACACACAAAAAAAAACTATCGTGTCGCTGTAAAATATCATATAAAGGAAATTCATCATGCTATGTTTTCTACGAGGAAATGCTATTTGTATAGATTAACGAGGAAACATATCCAACTGTCTGTCGAACGCCATTCGACTTCATATTACAGCTATGAATAGGTCTTGGCCAGATTAAGATAAATGTTAAAAAAATTCGCGTACATGCATATGATAATTTGACTCAGTACAGAAAATATTTCTTTATAATAAAGATTACAATGAATATAAGTAGATTTTGCATAACTGCGAAAGTGATTTTACAAGGATTTTGATCATAGATTACTAAAACTTGATCTAAGGTGCTATACTTAATGAATGGCTATATTTTGCATTTCATCACCCAACATATTTTATTAGAAAAAAAAACAAAATATACCATAAGATGCAGCGTGCAATATTCTACAATTTACAAAGCTTATTGAATATATGCATCTTTTGTTTAAAAAAAAAAGACAAAATTCAATTTATTGACAAAGAGAATTTGAAAATTATATTGAAACTGTTCTTCTTGAAGATAAACGGCTGTTAGCCAATGATTTCATCGATCAACAAGGCATGCAACATAAACATACAGAATCATTGACATGGTCTGACAAGAATTTTATGCATTTGATAAACAATCACACATGACCATCAAGTGGTCTTCATTTCAATGTTTTAGATTATTATGTATGAGATGCTCTCAGCAATAATATGCAATCGGATGACGTGGAAAACTTTGATTTACTGGCTGATGAAATAGGACAAAAGAATTCCTTCTGTACCAAAAAAACTGAATCTGCTCGCAACGTCTAACATTGTTTGAATAGAATTTCGCCCGTTTTACGTTAATACTAAAACCATTGTATGTTGAATTGTTGTATTCATCAGTTATAGGCTCCCCCCCCCCCTTTAAAATGAAATATTTTTTTTTGAGCATTCAATCATGATAAAAATTTCAGTGGAGATGTATCTCGAGCTAGACACCTCACAGTAAAACTTTCAGCTCGATATATTGAGTCTACGGAGAGTTAGCATAAGATTATGGGTCAAAATTTAGGTTTCCGTGCGTTCCAAATTTCTCCGCTATTTCGAATGCTAGAAAAGTCGGGCTGATTTTAAAATGTAGCCAATATGTGGCACTACAACTTAACAGGACTCGACTTTTCGATTCTCTCCTAGCTTGTCTTTTTAGAGAATTTCTCTGATGAAATATGAAAAAGCCAATGGGGAGTAGGTCCAGAAAAGTTATTCTTTTA